GCAGCCCATTGGTGGCATTGGGGACCACATTTGAGGCCCTCTATAACTCGAAAGCTGACAACCACTCCCCTAAAGGATCATTTTCCCCAAAAGTATTATTAGTTTCAAGTCAAACTTAGTGGACTGAGTCAGCTGTTGACTTTTGATATGCCTTGGATTCCCCAACAGTAAGATCACAAAGCCATAATTCCTGGTTCTGTTCCAGTCCACTTGAGACTTCTAGATGTCCCTGGCCATCTGTGTGTCCCTGCTCCTCCTGTTACATTCTCCATAATATAAGATACATTTAAAAAACCCAACAGAGAGACAGAGAGTCCATCACAATGACCACAGCAGGTGTGCAGAATGATCCTGCTAGGTCATGGAAAGAAGCTCATCAAGAAGTACCTTGGTTGATGTTTCCCCAGTTGATGCGGATGTACTTGTCACGGTCACTGCGGCACTGCTCATGCTGGAAGCCCAGGGAATGGAGTAGCTCGTGTTGTATTATACCCCAGTGTAGACATCTGGGCTTTATGAGGGATAGCTCCTGTGCACCACCAACCCGTCCAATATACGACCAACATCTTTGAAAGAACAGAGACAAGTCAAAATTATTTAACCCATGATGTTATTGTTGTCTTGAGGTGACAGGTTGGACCTGGAGGTATCTGCTCATGTTCCTGCAGTACTATATACACTCACCAGCCACTTTATTAGGTACACCTTGCTAGTACCAGGTTGAACCCCGTTTTGCCTTCAGAACTGCCTTAATTCTTCTTGGCATAGATTCAACAAGGTGTTGGAAACGTTCCTCAGAGATTTTAGTCCATATTGACATGATAGTATAACGGGCCCAAAGTGTGCCAAGAAAATATCCCCCACACCATTACACCACCACTAGTCTGAACTGTTGATACAAGGCAGGGTGGATCCATGCTTTTATGTTGTTTATGCCAAATTCTGAACCGACCATCTGAATGTTGCAGCTGACATCGAGACTCATCAGACCAGACAACGTTTTTCCAATCTTCTATTGTCCAATTTTAGTGAGCCTGTGCGAATTGTAGCCTCCGTTTCCTGTTGTTAGCTGACAGGAGTGGCACCCGGTGTGGTCTTCTGCTGCTGTAGACCATCTGCTTCAAGGTTCAATGTGTTGTGCGTTCAGAGATGGTATTCTGCATACCTCGGATGTAACAAGTGGTTATTTGAGTTACTGTTGCCTTTCTATCATCTCGTACCAGTCTGTCCATTCTCCTCTGACATCAACAAGGCATTTTCGTCCACAAAACTGCCGCTCACTGGATATTTTCTCTTTTTCGGACCATTCTCTGTAAACCCGAGAGATGGTTGTGCGTGAAAATCCGAGTAGATCAGCAGTTTTTGAAATACTCAGACCAGCCCGTCTGGCACCAACAACGTTCAAAGTCACTTAAATCCCCTTTATTCCCCATTCTGATGCTCACTTTGAACTTCAGCAAGTCCTCTTCACCACGTCTAGATGCCTAAATGCATTGAGTTGCTGCCATGTGATTGGTTGATTAGCCATTTGTGTTACCAAGCAATTGAACAGGTGTACCTAATAAAGTGGCCAGTGAGTGTATATATTTATGCACCATTCTGGTCATGAAAAGATTATTTGATGGTCAGATTGTACATAAAAGTCCAACAACCGCTCAGCGTTCCAGATGACCCTGTATTGGATCACTTGTGTTCTGTCTGTAACAATCAACGATTGGGAGAAGACAGCAGAGCACTTTAACAGTAAGATTAAAAACTCCACCTGCCACCAATTACATCCAATTTACCGTTATGAAAGTGAAATGGTGTTTAATAAAGCGTGTTGGATAGAATAGCTGACTGCTGACCCTGATCACAGAGAAAGGCTTTTCTATATTTAAACTCAGACTGAGCTCACCAGTCTCATTGCCTGGATAAGGGACAGTCTGTGTCCTCATTATTATTTTAAATCTTTCACTTGGCTTGTTGTAGTATCGGAAGAACAGAAAGATCTTAAGGGATCAGTGCTGCTTATAACGAGGTACAGACCATCAAGGTCTCTCAAGCCTCTTCTTCTATCATTAAAGGGAAAGTATAGTGTATAGCAGCCTTTCTCAACCTTTTTTTTGTTACCATGAAGTAACCTTTGAAATGACTATCTGGTTTCAGGGAACCCCTGCTAATAATTACCATATATATAGCTCACCGTATATTAGTGTGATGGGCAGTGGGAAAATTGTTCCTTGCATAGGTGGTCATTAGGAAGAATGCTTCTGACATTGGTGGTCATTAGGAGGAATGCTTCTGACATTGGTGGTCATTAGGAGGAATGCTTCTGACATGGGTGGTCAGTGGGGAGAATTCTCCTTACATTGGTAGTCAGCGGAAAGAATGCTCTTTACATTGGTAGTCAGTGGGGAAAATTCTCCTTACATTGGTGGTCAGTGGAAAGAATGTTCCTTTCATTGGTGGTCAGTGAAAAAAAATGTTCCATACATTGTTGGTCAGCGGAAAGAATGCTCCTTACATTGGTGGTCAGTGGGAAGAATGCCCCTTACATTGGTGGTCAGTGGAAAGAATGTTCCTTAAATTGGTGGTCAGTGAAAATAATGCACCTTACATTGGTGGTCAGTAGGAAGAATGTTCCTTACATTGGTGGTCAGTAGGAAGAATGTTCCTTACATTGGTGGTCAGTGAGAAGAATGCTCCTTACATTTCTGGTCATTGAGAAGAATGTCCCTTACATTGGTGGTCAGTGGGAAGAATGTCCCTTACATTGGTGGTCAGTGGGAAGAATGTCCCTTACATTGGTGGTCAGTGGGGAGAATGT